CCCGCTACGTCGGCACGCGAGCCAAGTCACCCCAGCATCGCCCCAGCAGCCAAGCATCAGATAACAGCGCACATAGGGGCCATGCGCATGCTCAGATAGGAGTAGCGGCGCCAGGCAATGATGTCACGAGTCGAGATTCATTAGCTGTGACTTGTCCAAGCTTTTACATGGCTAGTCAGTGCACTGCCAAGGAGAGAGAGAGAGAGGGAGAGAGAGAAAGAGATTTGCTTGGACTGGCTGTGAGTTTTAATACATTCATTTTTATTAACACAAGATTTTACTTTGAGTTTTCTTATGAAAAATTGAAATTTAATATCTAAGATTTAGCAGAGAGATGTTCTGATTAAGAGACTGAGATTATTTTAATGTTGTGCTGTCCCGCTGGCATATTTGAATCTGCAGTGTAGGCCCTTTGCGATAAATAAGTGAGTTTTGGGTTGCAGTTTGGGCACTTGGTCTCTAAAAGGTTCGCCATCACTGGTCTAAGTCCTCCTCTTGTGGGTTGGTGTACCAGCTGAAAAAAACCAGCTGAAAAAGCTCTGCAGAACAGTTCTTTGCAGACACAATATAAGCACGAAAATCCTATTTGCTGCCCGTATTGCCACAGAGAAGGCCTTCAAATAAGGCTTCGATCGGATTCACCCCAGATTGTCTGCCAGTGTTGCTCTGGCTGTCGTCTCTCTTGCTGCACGGCCACCAGCAAGCCAGGCTGCTGCGGTGACTCCCTGGGGGAGGGAGCTCAGGAATGGCTGCTTCTACTGCTGTGGTCATTTCTCCGTTCCAGAGCTTGGCCGGGACCTCAACAGAGCTGCCTGCAGAGGCAACAGGGGAAGAACCTTCAGGAAACCATCCAGATCCATCAGCTTCCTGGGGAGGATCATCTTAATCAGCCCTTCACCCATGCAAACGGTCTGACTGCCAGCGAGTCTAAACCCCAGTAGGGAGCGACCCGCTCAAGCAACGGAAGCACAGAGAGCTCCTCCACTGTCAGGTCTCTGTCACCCCCATCCAGCACAAAAAACAAGGTCCAGGGAAAGGACCCTGCTGGCGAGGTGGGATGAATGGAACCCATCCCTCTAATGCTTATGGGCTTCCCCTTGCGCTCAGTCTGCTCTCCGAAAGCCAGCTGCGCCAAGGGGAGCTCTGCAGACACGTGTGGAACGAAGCCTGTGCAACCGGCAACCTGCTTCCACGTGACATGGAGCTGCACAAAGACTGCTCACATGGTGCGGAAGAGGGACGCCGCTTGCACAACACTGCGTAGGCTCCCCCTCCTGATGACGGTCCCATGAACACTGGCTGAGGTCGCCAGGAACTTGGACTCTCAGGGCTGCAACAAAGCGGCCCGTTGTCCAGGGAGCCAAGTCCAGGGAACTGGACTAGTCCCTACCTCCAGAATGGATTCCTTGCAGCTCCCTAGCCCAGCGTGTGCCCAGAGTGGGCAGCCGCTGCTTAGAGCAGGCCGGCGGTTGTCGTGGCAGACATGAAATTCTGAGTTTCAGCAGCCACTTGCAATGACACAAAGGCTGAAGGACTACTTAGTTTCTCCGTTCATGGTGCTGTTTAGGTTTTGTTCTGTAACACTATAAAATTAGCAGAAGACTCAAATATTGTTCAGGGTGCATCCCTCTTAAGTACGTCTCATCTGTAAGGCATGGATACTGGAGGCCACGTCTTTCTGCGAGCCAGAGATCTTTCTGCAATCTTTCTCCTCCCTCTGTTGCAAACGCCCCACCATCCCTAATAATTCAGTGGCTTTATGGATGTTCTTGTCCCTGATAAATGACCAGGGTGGGGGAATGGTCTTTTGGAAAACTGACACTACTTTAAAAAATGATTCTGCAAGTATAGGAGCCATCTATTTGTCACTGAATGAAAAAAAATTCTGCTTTGGACAAGAAGCAGTTCTTGCATGCAATCCACGTTGGGCACCGAGTTAGAAAGTTCAATCAGAACGAATTTGCAAGTCCTTCCCTTTTTAATGCGGAGAAGGAGATATTGGGCAGTATCAAACAGGCTGCTTGGGCCCCAGCTCAATTACCTGACCCCACAACCTCCGTTGCACAAGCTGTGGGTCCCGCCATCGCACTAGCAGGAGCCACGGCTTGAACAACGAGATTTGCTATTGCAGGAGGAGGCCTAAAATGAGCAGAAATGCCTGTTTCTGGATCGGTGCAGATCGGTGGCACTCCCTTACGTGAGTGCCACCAAGCTGGGTCTCCGTCCCACAAGGGAGGGCACCGCCCGTGGGCAGGAGCCGACGAGGCGCAGAAGAATCAGTGAGTGCCGGGATAAAGTGCCCTGTTGGATAACGCCCATAATCCTGGCTGCAGGCGGATCGCGCAATCTGGACGGTGCACGTGCAAGGAGACTGGTGTGCCACGTATATCTTTCAACTGCGTTGAGATGTATTATATAGATAAACTAAGCATGGATTAAGGTCACTTTTGGAGTGATGTATTAAACATGGGACAGTAAAAAACAAACTGCTGCAAAAGCCAAAGAGCCTCCATTGATCTGTCCTGACTCTCCCACCAAACAGCTTCCTGGCATGACCCCACCGGGTCCGAGGAAGGCAAAACATCTCCTCATCCACCATCTTCAGTTCTGTCATGTTCCCACCTGACTTGCCTTTTCCTAAGCTAAAGAAGCCTAAAGTGGAGCCCTTCCCTCACAGGGGAACTGCGTGGCCTCCAGCCCTTCTCCTGTCTCTAAAGTCACTGGAGAAACGGTTGCTAGGTTTATACACAGAACTTGAAGAAGAGCATTAGCATTTTGGAAGTTTTATTTTTTATTCTCTTGCTGGAGATCCGGCATGTGGGATTTACCTTTTCGTGGCAGCTCCATGCTGGGAGGGCAGTTGTACTGAGCGTTTCTGGTCAGCCACTGCCAGATTAGAGCTCACCCACTTCTGCAGGCCATGCGCTGCACTGATCCGCGCTGGCCATGCAAGGGTGACACCGGCCCACGGATTCTGGGGGCAGGGGGGGCTCGTGGCCGTGCACGAGCTCTTCTTTCATCGATCGCATTTCTATGCCATGAAATGGGAGAAGCTCTCCGGCAGGTTTACACAGATGAAAGCTTTAAAAATAGATGATTAAACATCACGAGATATCTAAAAACAATTCTGAACCATCAACAGCACAGAAACGATTCCTCACCGTATAATGCTGAATGCCTAAGAGAAGATCTAAACCTGATGCCAAAAGCGTAACAAGGTTGGTGCCCGCAGGCTTCATCGGAGAGAGATGGGCAACACGTTGGAGAAGGCGCCGTTCTTCGCAGCCATCTTCCCCGTTTCCCTCAGCGGAGGGAAGAGATGGGGCCTTCGAGTACAAACACAACACGGTGCACTGGCAGGTTCACAGCAGGGGGGGGGGGGGGGG